TAGACTATAGACTAGACTATAGACTAGACTAGACTAGACTATAGACTAGACTATAGACTAGACTATAGACTAGATTATAGACTAGACTATAGACTTGACTATAGACTAGACTATAGACTAGACTATAGACTTGACTATAGACTAGACTATAGACTAGACTATAGACTACACTATAGACTACACTATAGACTACACTATAGACTAGACTATAGACTAGACAATAGACTAGACTGTAGACTAGACTATAGACTAGACTATAGACTAGACTATAGACTAGACTATAGACTAGACAATAGACTAGACAATAGACTAGACTATAGACTAGACTTTAGACTAGACAATAGACTAGACAATAGACTAGACTATAGACTAGACTATAGACTAGACTATAGACTAGACTATAGACTAGACTATAGACTAGACTATAGACTAGACTATAGACTAGACTATAGACTAGACAATAGACTAGACAATAGACTAGACTATAGACTAGACTTTAGACTAGACAATAGACTAGACAATAGACTAGACTATAGACTAGACAATAGACTAGACAACAGACTAGACTATAGACTAGACTATAGACTATACTATAGACTAGACTATAGACTAGACTATAGACTAGACTATAGACTAGACTATAGACTAGACTATAGACTAGACTATAGACTAGACTATAGACTAGACTATAGACTAGACTATAGACTAGACTATAGACTAGACTATAGACTAGACTATAGACTAGACTATAGACTAGACTATAGACTAGAATAGACTAGACTATAGACTAGACTATAGGACTAGACTATAGACTAGACTATAGACTAGACTATAGACTAGACTATAGACTAGACTATAGACTAGACTATAACTACTAGACTACTAGACTAGACTATAGACTAGACTATAGACTAGACTATAGACTAGACTATAGACTGGACTATAGACTAGACTATTGACTAGACTATAGACTAGACTATAGACTAGACTATAGACTAGACAATAGACTAGACAATAGACTAGACAATAGACTAGACTGTAGACTAGACTATAGACTAGACTATAGACTAGACTATAGACTAGACTATAGACTAGACTATAGACTAGACAATAGACTAGACAATAGACTAGACTATAGACTAGACTTTAGACTAGACAATAGACTAGACAATAGACTAGACTATAGACTAGACTATAGACTAGACTATAGACTAGACTATAGACTAGAGTATAGACTAGACTATAGACTAGACAATAGACTAGACAATAGACTAGACTATAGACTAGACAACAGACTAGACAACAGACTAGACTATAGACTAGACTATAGACTATACTATAGACTAGACTATAGACTAGACTATAGACTAGACTATAGACTAGACTATAGACTAGACTATAGACTAGACTATAGACTAGACTATAGACTAGACTATAGACTAGACTATAGGCTAGACTATAGACTAGACTAGACTATAGACTAGACTATAGACTAGACTATAGACTAGACTATAGACTAGACTATAGACTAGACTATAGACTAGACTATAGACTAGACTATAGACTAGACTATAGACTAGACTATAGACTAGACTATAGACTAGACTATAGACTAGACTATAGACTAGACTATAGACTAGACTATAGACTAGATTATAGACTAGACTATAGACTTGACTATAGACTAGACTATAGACTAGACTATAGACTTGACTATAGACTAGACTATAGACTAGACTATAGACTACACTATAGACTACACTATAGACTAGACTATAGACTAGACTATAGACTAGACAATAGACTAGACTGTAGACTAGACTAGACTTACTAGACTATAGACTAGCTATAGCTAGACTATAGACTAGACAATAGACTAGACTATGACTAGAACTTAGACTAATAAAGACGAGACAATAGACAACTAGAGCTAGACTATACACTAGACTATAGACTAGACGAGAGACTAGAACTATAGACGAGACTATAAGACTAGACTATAGACTAGACTAATAGACTAGACATAGACTAGACTAGACTAGACTATAGACTAGCTTTAGACTAGACAATAGACTAGACAATAGACTAGACTATAGACTAGACAATAGACTAGACAACAGACTAGACTATAGACTAGACTATAGACTATACTATAGACTAGACTATAGACTAGACTATAGACTAGACTATAGACTAGACTATAGACTTAGACTATAGACTAGACTATAGACTAGACTATAGACTAGACTATAGACTAGACTATAGACTAGACTATAGACTAGACTATAGACTAGACTATAGACTAGACTATAGACTAGACTATAGACTAGACTATAGACTAGACTATAGACTAGACTATAGACTAGACTATAGACTAGACTATAGACTAGACTATAGACTAGACTATAGACTAGACTATAGACTAGACTATAGCTAGACTATAGACTAGACTATAGACTTGACTATAGACTAGACTATAGACTAGACTATAGACTTGACTATAGACTAGACTATAGACTAGACTATAGACTAGACTATAGACTACACTATAGACTACACTATAGACTAGACTATAGACTAGACTATAGACTAGACTATAATGACTATAGACTAGACTATAGACTATAGACTAGACTATAGACTAGACTATAGACTAGACTATAGACTAGACTATAGACTAGACTATAGACTAGACTATAGACTAGGACTATAGACTAGACTATAGACTAGACTATAGACTAGACTATAGACTAGACTATAGACTAGACTATAGATTAGACTAGACTAGACTATAGACTAGACTATAGACTAGACTATAGACTAGACTATAGACTAGACTATAGACTAGACTATAGACTAGACTATAGACTAGACTATAGACTAGACTATACTAGACTATAGGCTAGACTATAGACTAGACTAGACTATAGACTAGACTATAGACTAGACTATAGACTAGACTATAGACTAGACTATAGACTAGACTATAGACTAGACTATAGACTAGACTATAGACTAGACTATAGACTAGACTATAGACTAGACTATAGACTAGACTATAGACTAGACTATAGACTAGACTATAGACTAGACTATAGACTAGACTATAGACTAGACTATAGACTAGATTATAGACTAGACTATAGACTTGACTATAGACTAGACTATAGACTAGACTATAGACTTGACTATAGACTAGACTATAGACTAGACTATAGACTACACTATAGACTACACTATAGACTAGACTATAGACTAGACTATAGACTAGACAATAGACTAGACTGTAGACTAGACTATAGACTAGACTATAGACTAGACTATAGACTAGACAATAGACTAGACTATAGACTAGACTTTAGACTAGACAATAGACTAGACAATAGACTAGACTATAGACTAGACTATAGACTAGACTATAGACTAGACTATAGACTAGACTATAGACTAGACTATAGACTAGACTATAGACTAGACTATAGACTAGACAATAGACTAGACAATAGACTAGACTATAGACTAGACTTTAGACTAGACAATAGACTAGACAATAGACTAGACTATAGACTAGACAATAGACTAGACAACAGACTAGACTATAGACTAGACTATAGACTATACTATAGACTAGACTATAGACTGACTAGACTAGACTATAGACTAGACTATAGACTAGACTATAGACTAGACTATAGACTAGACTATAGACTAGACTATAGACTAGACTATAGACTAGACTATAGACTAGACTATAGACTAGACTATAGACTAGACTATAGACTAGACTATAGACTAGACTATAGACTAGACTATAGACTAGACTAGACTAAGACTAGACTATAGACTAGACTATAGAACTAGACTATAGACTAGACTATAGACTAGACTATAGACTAGACTATAGACTAGACTATAGACTAGACTATAGACGAGACTACTATAGACTAGACTATAGACTAGACTATAGACTAGACTATAGACTAGACTATAGACTAGACTATAGACTAGACTAAGCTAGACTATGACTAGCTATAGACTAGACTATAGACTAGACTATAGACTAGACTACTAAGACTAGACTATAGACTAGACTATAGACTAGACTATAGACTAGACTATAGACTAGACTATAGACTAGACTATAGACTAGACTATAGACTAGACTATAGACTATACTATCGACTAGACTATAGGACTAGAACTATAGACTAGACTATAGACTAGAACTATAGACTAGACTATAGACTAGACTATAGACTAACTATAGACTAGACTATAGACTAGACTATAGACTAGACTATAGAGACTAGACTATAGACTAGACTATAGACTAGACTATAGACTAGACTATAGACTAGACTATAGACTAGACTATAGACTAGACTATAGACTAGACTATAGACTAGACTATAGACTAGACGATAGACTAGACTATAGACTAGACTAGACTATAGACCTTAGACAGACTATAGACTAGACTATAGACTAGACTATAGACTAGACTATAGACTAGACTATAGCTAGACTATAGACTAGACTATAGACTAGACTAGACTAGACTATAGACTAGACTATAGACTAGACTATAGACTAGACTATAGACTAGACTATAGACTAGACTATAGACTATACTAGACTAATAGACTAGACTACAGACTAGACTATAGACTAGACTATAGACTAGACTATAGACTAGACTATAGACTAGACAAGACATTGACTACATTGTAGACTTCTATAAGACCTACACAACAGACTACTCCATAGACCAAACTATGGACTTGACTATAGTCTAGACTATATAATATGCTGTAGACTGTACTAGGTTTAAAGTTTTGATAAATATGTTATGATGTAGATTATTTATCCCCCTACAACTCACCAAACAAATTCGACTAATTTGCCAGCAATTTTACATAATATCCCATAAATTATTTAATATTTCAAGAATATTTTAAATATTTTTGCTTTAACACACTTTTTGTTTTTTGTTTTTACAGGTCCATAATTCCAGTGATGCGATTGTAACATTACGTGAAGTGAATCTACAATCGGCTGGACGTTTTCGTTGTGAGGTATCGGGTGAAGCGCCATCATTTCAAACTGTTACCGAACATGGTGACATGGTTGTTGTCTGTAAGTATTGACAGCTTTTGTTACATTTTATTAAAAAAATTCTAAAACAACTCTAAAAACACACAATTCAGTAGAAAACTAAAACTTTAATGAAAATTCATATGGAAAACACTGTTGTAAACATAGAGAAGATTGATTGATATTTATTGGGTGTCAGTTGAATGAACAGAGAGCGTTGCAACTTCTAAAAAAACTGTATTTTATGATTTTTTCTAAATAAAAAATAAAAATTTTTTCGAGTTACCATAAAAGCAATAACTTTTTTTAGTTTTTTTTTTTTTTTGTACTAAGTACTTAACAAATATTTGAATTTGTATTTTGTTAAAAGAGCAACAAATAGAGCAGCTGCTGCTATAGTTTGAAAAATGTTTAGGCAAATTTTATTTAGTTTAGCAAATTTAATAATTGATAATGCATCACAAATTGTTGCCGATCCTTAAACGAGAGAAAAATAAAGCCTATATTATAAAAAAAAGTATTTGTTATTTTTATGCAAAAAAACAACTTTTTAAGGACTTTTATTTTTTATTTTATTACCTTAACTGGAAACACTGTCGGTCTTTCAGTTTGTCTAAGGTACATAATTCTGTATATATGCGAACATAGTACAAATGTTATAAAACTAAAGAGGTTTGCAAATGTACATACATATACATATACATATGTGTCAAAATATATTTAGGTAAAAATTTTACAGTAAAGGATTACAGTAATAGCACTATTATATTTCTTTTTACTCCTCTTCTTCCTTTAAACTATTAGAAAAAAAGACCGATTTAAAAAGGGATCTTATATAAACAACAAACTAGTTTGTTCTTCTAATTACTAATGGACAAATGTAAATTTTTTGTACTAAGTTATTGTTCAGAAACTGCTCATTGGAATAACACAACTGTATTTGTACATTCTAAAAATATTGAATATATAACGGCAAAAGTTTTTAACAAATGTAGACAGTTAAAAATTTTAATATTTTATCAAAAAACATTCTATATAAAAGTACTTTGTTCATAAATTTTCAGGAGAACTGCATAAGTTAAATTGAATAAACTAGACTACACCCTAAACTATACACGAGACTATAGACTGGAATATAGACAAGATCATAGATTATAAACTAGACCGTAGACTAGATTATAAAATAAAATAAATTATAGACTAGACTATGGCCTACACTATAGACTAGACTATAGACTAGACTTTAGACTAGACTACAGACTAGACTGTAGATTAGACTATAGACTAGACTATAGACTAGACTATAGACTAGACTATAGACTAGACTATAGACTAGACTATAGACTAGACTATAGACTAGACTATAGACTAGACTATACTATAGACTATACTATAGACTGGAATATAGACAAGATCATAGATTATAAACTAGACCGTAGACTAGACTATAGAATAAACCATAAAATAAATTATAGACTAGTAGGGTGATCGACTCGATTTTTCAACCGGTTTTAAAACCGGTTTTTTCTGCTTTACCAGTGTCGGTTTTTTCTTAATGTTGATTTTTCGAATATCGAACAACCCGGTTTTTTCACTTTTTAAAAACCGGTTTCGAATACTTTTATCTGCTTTGTATTCAAAGATTATTTAAATGAAAATTTTAAGGAAATAATAATACAGCCCGTCTAAATTTTAAAAATATTCGAGTCGAGGAACTATCCCATATTTTTCTACAGCTCCTTTGGTTAAAACTTCTTGATTTTCCTAACTAATTAAAAAAAATTATTTGTAAAATTGATAACTGTTTGATAAAATTTTATCAATCTTAAGATTATATTCCAATTACAATAATTAATTTACGGCTGAAATTTTATGGAAGTGTTGGAATGCCTATGCAAATTTCCTAAACCGGGCTTTTAAAATAAGCTAGGATTACATAGTACCTTATGTTTAACAGAAGTGTCCCACTTTTTTCCTAATTTTTTTATATTAAAGAAATAATGTAAATAAGACGACTAGATCTAAAGTTATAATCATTTAAACTGTTAAAAATCATTTCGGGCCATGTTTTATTAATCAAATTTAAACATAAATATTAAGTTTTTCAAATTAAAATATATTTTTTTTATTTATAATGAAAAACCGGTTAACCGGTTTTTTCTGAATTTGAAAAATATCAACCGCTTTTTTTTTAAATGTCAACTATTCGAACTATTCGAAAACCGGTTTTTGGAAAATGTCGAATAATCGATCACCCTATAGACTAGACTATGGCCTACACTATAGACTAGACTATAGACTAGACTTTAGACTAGACTATAGACTAGACTATAGACTAGACTATAGACTAGACTATAGACTAGACTATAGACTAGACTATAGACTAGACTATAGACTAGACTATAGACTAGACTATAGACTAGACTATAGACTAGACTATAGACTAGACTATAGACTAGACTATAGACTAGACTATAGACTAGACTATAGACTAGACTATAGACTAGACTATAGACTAGACTATAGACTAGACTATAGACTAGACTATAGACTAGACTATAGACTAGACTATAGACTAGACTATAGACTAGACTATAGACTAGACTATAGACTAGACTATAGACTAGACTATAGACTAGACTATAGACTAGACTATAGACTAGACTATAGACTAGACTATAGACTAGACTATAGACTAGACTATAGACTAGACTATAGACTAGACTATAGACTAGACTATAGACTAGACTATAGACTAGACTATAGACTAGACTATAGACTAGACTATAGACTAGACTATAGACTAGACTATAGACTAGACTATAGACTAGACTATAGACTAGACTATAGACTAGACTATAGACTAGACTATAGACTAGACTATAGACTAGACTATAGACTAGACTATAGACTAGACTATAGACTAGACTATAGACTAGACTATAGACTAGACTATAGACTAGACTATAGACTAGACTATAGACTAGACTATAGACTAGACTATAGACTAGACTATAGACTAGACTATAGACTAGACTATAGACTAGACTATAGACTAGACTATAGACTAGACTATAGACTAGACTATAGACTAGACTATAGACTAGACTATAGACTAGACTATAGACTAGACTATAGACTAGACTATAGACTAGACTATAGACTAGACTATAGACTAGACTATAGACTAGACTATAGACTAGACTATAGACTAGACTATAGACTAGACTATAGACTAGACTATAGACTAGACTATAGACTAGACTATAGACTAGACTATAGACTAGACTATAGACTAGACTATAGACTAGACTATAGACTAGACTATAGACTAGACTATAGACTAGACTATAGACTAGACTATAGACTAGACTATAGACTAGACTATAGACTAGACTATAGACTAGACTATAGACTAGACTATAGACTAGACTATAGACTAGACTATAGACTAGACTATAGACTAGACTATAGACTAGACTATATACCAGGCGTTAGCTAGACTAGGGAGGCTGTAGGCTACACTGTAGATTATTTGACAGGCTATTGACTGGAACATAGACTATTATATAGTCTATTCCCTATCTTATAGTGTAGGGTATGAAAGTTTAGAACTTTGTTGTTTTTCACCGTGTATCAAACTGTTCAACTCTATCTTTGGAAATCAATCAGACCAAATGCAATTAACAACAAATATAGTTTTACAGGCATTATACATATTTATTTTCGTACTTCATATAAGGATTTAGAGAAACAAACCGAAAACTTTGATTGAATTAAACAAATATTAGGCTTATACATACATACACATGTATATATGTATATGTTGCTAGAGTTTATATAAATATACATATTTATATTCACAAACTTACTGCAAAATAAACAGGTGTATGCTTTTTGTTATTTACATCAAAAATCTATAAAAATATTATATTTATTTGGGATAACTTTTAATTTGTTAAATAAATTTTTATTTTCCTTTTTTAGCTCTACCCGATCAGGGACCTCCCAAAATCAGTGGTGGTCGTCCTCGTTATCAAATCGGTGATTGGGTACGCATTAATTGTACTGCCGGTCGTTCAAAACCGGCAGTTCAGCTTTCTTGGTTCGTGAATGGTGAAGCTGCTGAACCTCATACGTTACGTAAATACGATACTATCATATCGGGTCGTGAGGGTTTAGAAACATCGGTATTGGGTTTACAATTTCGTGTGGAACAGCATCATTTTCGAAATGGTGATATGAAATTAAAGGTAAGTAGGAATATTGGCGATTAGAAATTAAGTAAACTGGTCTGTCTGTGTTTTCGTAATTAATCTAGAGATCTGAAATTTAGCTCAACTAATTCCTCTTAATAGTTTATATGTCTATCTGATGAAAAATAAATAACTTAGCTCAGTAATTTATCTATTTAACTAACTCTTCTCTTTTTTGATTATTCTTCCATTTTCTAGTGTGTCGCCTCTCTGTCCACATTCTACTGGCGCAGCAATGAAGAATCCGTCGAAGGTGATAGACCACAAAAGGCGCCCGTCCTAGAGTCACGTGAGACCGTGTATGCCAGTAATTCACGTGCCGATCCCGTACAAGGTATGTCATTGCGGGAAAGTTTTGTTACCAAAATTTTATCGTTTTTCATTCAACCAAATGCAGCCAATAAAACGGATTCATCTGTCAGTATAAAGCCCATCACAATAATATTACTGATAGCAATGGCTTTAATAACAACAACAGGTTGTTTAGAACAATTATACTTGGGACATAATAACTTAACGAGAGCAAAAAAACCAACATCATGCAATTTAAAAGTTGAACCGGAAGAAGAAAAACACTTAAGAAATCATTGTTGCAACAATGATGATGATGAGCATGATGATGCCAAGGTTTGTGATTGTGAGGAAGTTAAAAATAAAAGTATTGAAAATGATGGTAATATAACAACAAGTAAGGAAAATAATCTTTCAAAAAACTCTCAAGTAGTAGAAAAAGGAAATTGTAATAGAATTACAAATCACAAAAGTATGATGGATTTTAATAAGGATATGTCAAGTCTGCCAATAACATTTGAAATAGAAACGCAAATCACATCAATATGTGCCAGACTACAACTGACTACAAAGACAACAAAATCATACTTATCATCATCAGCATTAAATTGTTCGTCATCTTTATATTGCTCCTTGTCCTGCTCCTGTTCCTCCTCTTCCACAACTACCACCTTGTCAACAACAAAACCCAATGTAAAGAGTTTAAAATCAAGGTAGCTATTTAATTAAATGGATTTTCCTCAATCTTATTTTCTTTCCATTTATACTACTTACTACTTTTATTTTTTATAAAAAAGAAAATAATTTTTTTATAAAAAAAATATTAAGTACATTAGTTTATTAGTTCCTTATAATTTTCTTTATTTAAAAGTAAAAAGCCAAGAAAAAATTTAAAAAAAAATACCAAAAAAAAAAAAAAAAAAAAATCACAACAGTTAATACTAATTTTTAAAATTTAAGTTTTAAATATTTCTCTAACGGATACGGAAATCTAAAAACAAATGTATATAGTCCTTGTTAAATTTTAAGAGTTTTAACTATAATTACACAAAAGCCATATTAATTAATAAATTTATTGCAAAAATAAGAGAACTTTAGTTTCTTTTTTTTTTATTTTAAATCAAAATGTTGTAACTTTTAAGCGTAATTAAATGTGTGTGAAATAACAAAAAATATGCTCGTAAAATGGTCGATTTTGTCTCAACTTCTTATTAGTATTTTAAGTAAAGTCAAAATCTATTAGTATTGTAAGTAAACTTTAGGTAGTCTGATAAATTAATAAAACAAAAACGGAAATTATATAAAATTTTTAAATACAATTTTATCCAGGAATGTGGTAGAAGTCTTCTTTTTTATTAATTTGAACTAAAAGAATAGGGTTAGAGTAGAAAATAAAGCTTTATGGGAGTTTCTTTATGAAGAAAATGTAAAGCTGTTAAAGCTTTTTAACACAGAATTACTGTATTTATATTTAAAGCTTTACTTTTAAAACAGCTTTCTCCATAAAATGTTTCTAATTCTGTTATAGATATAACAGAAAGCTTTTAAAGCTTTTCACAAAATACTTGACTTTAAAGAGAAAATCCCTAAAACCAAAAGCTCATTAATAAGTCAAAGCTATTTACATTATTTATTTGAAAAAGAGAAATGCATTTTCAACAAAAGCTTTTACTTTTATAATATGAAAGCTGCCCTGACATTGGAGTCAGTTATAAACTTTTTACATTTGTTGTTTAAAGAAATTCTTAATAAATTCTAAATAAACAAATAAAAAGCACAAAACTTTAAGAAATTCGTTTAAATTAAATAAAAAGCTTTTTTGTTAGTTTTGTTAAAACATTTTATTTAAAATACTTTTTTTAATGTAAAAGCTCTTCAAAAATAGCTTTTTCATTTTTGAAGAAACATTTTTTTAAGCTTTTTTAAAAGCAAATACACAATTTAACAAATGTTTTTTTTTAATAACAATTAAAAAGCTTTCTATAAATCTAATTTATTACTTAATAAATTTTAATTAAAACAACGCAAAAGTTTAATATTTTAATTCATTTGTTGAAATTCTTAAAAAAGCTTTTTTAAAAGTAAGCTTATAAATTTTAAAAAGTTCTTTTTCATGAAGCTTTTTTCCTAATTTGGTTAATTCTCAGTATTTTAAAGAATTTTTTTTATTGGAAAGCTTTATAGACTGAAAAGCTTTTATGATTAAAATTGTTGTTGAAACCAACAGGTAGGCTAAAAAGCTTTAGAAAGTTTTAAGAAATTTATTTTGGCTAGCAAAGCTTTAAAAAATTCGTAAAAAGCTTTTCGTAAAAAAGGCATTTTTGGAAAAAGTTTTTTGTTGAAAAGCTTTTTCGACTAAAAAACTCATTTCTGTAAGAAGTTTATTGAAAAACATTTCGGTTGAAGAGCTTCATTGAAATTCATTAAAAAGTTTTTTTGTAAGAGAGCTTATAATAATTAAAAAATTTCTTTTTCATGAAGCTTTTTTTCCTCCTTTGGTTATTACTCAGTATTTTAAAGAAAAAATGTTTTTTTTTTTACTGGAAAGTTTTATCGACTGAAAAGCTTTTATTATTAAAATTTTTGTTGAAACCAACAGGTAGGCTAAAAAACTTTATAAAGTTTAAGGAAATTTATTTTGGCTTTCAAAGCTTTACAAAATTCGTAAAAAGGCCATCGTAAAAAGCTCTTCGTACAAAGGGAATTTTTGGAAAAAGTTTTTTGTTGAAAAGCTTTTTCGACTAAAAAAACTCATTTCTGTAAAAAGTTTATTGAAAAACATTTCGGTTGAAGAGCTTCATTGAAATTCATTAAAAAGCTTTTTTGTAAGAGAGCTTATAATAATTAAAAAAGTTCTTTTTCATAAAGCTTTTTCCTCTTTCGATTAATTCTCAGTATTTTAAATAAAAAATATTTTTTATCGGAAAGCTTTATCAACTGAAAAGCTTTTATGATTACAATTTTTGTTGAAACCAATAGGTAAGCTAAAAGCTTTAGAAAGTTTTAGAAAGTTTATTTTGGCTTGCAAAGCTTTACAAAATTCGTAAAAAGGTCATCGTAAAAGGCTTTTCGTAAAAAGGGCATTTTTGGAAAAAGTTTTTTTTTTTAATGCTTTTTCGACTAAAAAACTCATTTCTGTAATAAGTTTATTGAAAAAGATTTCGGATGAAGAGCTTCATCTAAACTCTTAAAAATGCATTTTTTAAAAGAGCTTATAATAACTAAGTAAAAGTTCTCTTTCGTGAAGCTTTTTTTCCTCTTTCAAATTAACTTGTGTGAATTAGCAGTATTTTAAAGAATTTTTTTCCATTGGAAAGCTTTATCGACTGAAAAGCTTTTTTAATTACAATTTTTGTTGAAACCAACATGTAGGTTAAAAAGTTTTAGGACATTTATTTTGGCTTGCAAAGTTTTAAAGAATTCTATTCAAAAAGCTGTTTCTTCAAAAGCTATTCGTAAATAAGGCATTTTTGAAAAAAAGTGTTTTGTAAAAAAGTTTTCTCGACTAAATAAACTCATTTCTGTAAAAAGTTTATTGAAAACCAATTCGGTTGAAAAGCTTCATTTAAACACTATTTAAGAAAGCTTAAGAAAATTTTAGTTTATTGTACAAAAGCTTTAAAAACTAGTTTTAAAACTTAAAAAACTTTAAAAATTTCATAAAGCTTTTCTAAAAAGTACTGTTTATTTCTTTTAAAAAAGATTTTTTAAAAAGTTTTTAGGTAAATTTTTCTTTTGAAAAATTGTTTTGTTTGAAGGGTTTTATTTAAACACTCTTTTAAGAAAGCTTTACAAAAAAAGTTTTCTAATAAAAAATCTTTTTTTAAGCTTATTTTAAGGATTTGCTTTAACATAAAAGCGTTTTTGTTCGTTTAAATGTTTATTTAAACGTATTTAGAAAGATTTCTAAAACAAAAGCTTTTATTTGCTCTTAAGATTAAAGTTTGCTACAGTAATCAGCTTAAAGCTTTCCTTCCTTCTTAGCAACAATTAGCCCTATTCTTAAATACATATTTAAAAAATGTTCTTTAATCCTTTCAATATATTTCCTTAAATTACATGTATTATAGTATTTTCTTAACAAAAAAATTTATAATATATAATATATAAAAAATCAATTTAAAATCAAAACAAACACTTAAAAAAACTATTTTATCTCTATTGTGTTATAAATCTTCATACTAATCATTAGTGAAAAAAAAACAAGCAAAACATAAAATCTAGGTTAGATAAATGATGATAAAACAAAGAAAATAAAAAAAGAAAAGTCTTAAATTATTAACAAAAACATATCGTAAAATTTAATAGATTTGCCAAAGTTTTTTTTATTTTACTTAAGAAAAATAAAATAAATTAAATTTATAACAAAACAGAAGAGAAAAAATCAACATTTATATTGCAAAAATTTAAAAGAAAGAAAAAAAAAGAAAACTGTAATAAAACTATTTTGCATTTAGCTTTAAACGAAAAAAAAAATTTATATTTAAATAAACTAAAACAAAAAAAAAAAAATATTGAAAATTTTTTTTAAAGCCATAATAACAAACATATAAAATTTGTTTAAAATCTAGTATATTTAAAATAAAATTGTTTTTTTTTATAAAATGACTTTTTTTGGTAAATTTTTTATTTAGCTACTAAAACATTCCATATATTTTGCTATAAAAAAACTACAAAGAGTTTAAATTAAATAGCAATTCGTTTGTGAGAAAAAAAAAATATTATTGATTTAAATTTTATTTGAAATTGAAATAATACATTTTTGTCTTTTTTCTTTAAACTTTATAGCAAAATATGTGATTTTATACATAAACCTAAATGATGTTTTTATTTTAATTTTCATATAAAAATTTTGTATTTTTTATATATTTATAACAAATATACATATATTTAATTTGTAAATTCATTTTTATTATTGCCATAATGAAATATTTCATATAAATTAAGCTTTTGTAAATTTTTAATTATCTCTCAAAAAAAAATCAAAGGAAATTTGAAAAGTTTTTAATTTGTATGTAACAATTTGAGAAAGAATAGTTGGAAAAAAAAATTTCATTAATATTAATTAAAAATTTTATTGTAATATACAAATAAGTCATTAACCAGTAAGCTGTGTAAATTATAAATTTGGAAATAATAAATAATAAAAATAAAATTATTCAAAATAAAAACAAAAAACAAATATTTATTTTTTTTAACTTTAATATTTCGTAACAGAGGTCAAGGGTTTGTCAATTGATAATGCCTTGTTAACTTAGTTAATTTCATTTAACTAATTTGTTATTAATGAACGTTTTCTGCATGTTTCTGTTAGGAGAGAAATTTTATCTTAAAAGAGAAAATTTATCGAAATGTTTTTATTAAGAGAAATTTTAGAAAATTTTCTATTAAAAGAGGAAATTTTCTATTTAGAGAGAAAACTTTTAGAACATTTTCTATAAAAAAAGAGAAAATTTTCTATTCTGAGAAAAAATTTTCTATTAAAAGAGAAAATTTATTGAAAATTTTTTATTAATAGAGAAAATTGATTGTTCTATTGAAGAGAAAATCTATTGAAAATTTTCTCTTAAAAGAGAAAACTTTTAGAAATGTTTCTATTAAAAGAGAAAATTTATCGAAAATTTTCTCTTAAAAGAGAAAGTTTATCAAAAATTATTTATTAAAAGGGAAAATTTATCGAAAATGTTCTCTTAAAAGAGAGGATTTATCAAAAATTATTTATTAAAAGAGAAACTTTATGGAAAATTTGCTATTGAAAGGGAGACTTTATCAAAAATTTTCTACTAAAAGAGAAATCTTACCAAAAGTTTTCTATTAAAAGAGAAA